GTCTGCCAGTCCAGAGGCACTGTCCCCGACCGCCATGCGACGTTGCAGACGCGTGTCAACCAAGACAGCCCCACAACATCCAGAGACTTAAGGTACTCAGGGCGGATCTCATCCACCCCCGGTGCCTTGCCACCGAGAAGCTTCTTGACTACCTCAGTGACTTTAGCTTGGGTGATGGACGAGTCCACCTCCGAGCCCTCAGCCTCTGCTTCCTCATCAGAAGACATGGCGCCGGGATTCAGGAGATCCTCGAAGTATTCCTTCCACCGTCCAACAATGATGATTTATTGTTCTATTACAAAAATACTATGAATGAAGAAGAGGAATTACCTGCCATCTCTGTCCCAGTCGTACACCTCAACCTTGATTGTTCTGTTGGGAGAGGCACAAGATAATGGACCAGCTTAAAATGTACAATTAATAAACAATGCTGGATATTTACAATGAAATAAAAAGCTAAGTCCCTCTTCTATAGCTGTGAAATTATAAAATATACATAGGTAGTGTGTTTAGCATACAATCAGAAGAATGCTAATTTATTTTGTCATTGTTGTCATGGAGCTGTTAGGAAAGGCAAGTCGATTCTGCAGCTTCTCTTTACTGCAACACACTGTCTGCATGCCACCGTATTTACTCTCCTCATCTCATAGTTGATGAACAGTTTGTAAAAGCCCAATATGCTTTGCTATTACTCTGTCTAACAGTATCTTGAACAGAAGGGTCACAGACAAGGATAACAGAACAAAGGCTGAAGTAGACTGTAATGCAAAGTATACTGTATATTTATATACTTCTTAACTTACTGTGTTTTACAGTGTTTTCTAAAACAAGTGGTACTAGTTCATTAAAACTGGAGTCAAAACTGCACTTTTCCATCCTCCACATCATTCGGTATGAGAAGAAGTGGAAGTGCAAACCACCATCAATAGACGGTAGTGTTACTTAGAAAGTCAGATGCACAGGAAAACAGGCAATAACAATAAGGAGAGGAATGGGCTGACTGATGAACACTCTGGGGAAGAATGTGCACCGTGCTTAGTCTAACACTAGCAAACTCCTCAACTGAAACCAGTGTTTACTGAGCTGTCTGGATAAATATGAATGTGTATATACTGTATATATGAATCTGTTTATGGGAGTGTGTCTCATTAAGCTGAGCTCTGACAGGATATTGGCAGTGATTTCACTTGTTAATCATATGGCCTCACAGCATGTGTGTATGCATGTGAATGAGTGAACACAGGCCCATCACAGCATCTATGAGCATACGGACACATTCCCTATTGCTTGACAGCTTGAGTGTATCCTTATCTCTTCACCCCGGCTGCAGAGGCAAATTCAGCGTGTGTGTGTGTGTGTGTTTGTATGTGTGAGTGTGTGTACTGTATGTACAGTCTATTGCAGATTTCCTGGGTCCCCTACTAATAAGACACAGTGTGCTACAACTTGCCTAATAAGCTTATTGAACCTAACTTGCTACTAGTAATGCTACTGTCTGCTAGCTAAGCTAGTAAGATAAACTCTATCGTCTGCTTTTTTTTTGTCTTTGTTCTCTTCTTCATGTCACAGCTGCTGTGGACATCATGGCTGACATAAGAGATGCATTTTTGTCATATTATTTGTTTTATCCCACAAGAAGAGGGTGTGTTCAGCAATGCAAAACAATTAAATGTGGTGAAAAGTCTGTGTGAAGTTCAACAGAGTGCACATATAAAATCTATTTCAGGAGGCAATACTTAAGTGAAACCACTTAATTTTTTTACAGGTCCATACAATAACTCTCAACATATGTCACAGAGAAGATCATGTTATTTAGTACTAATTAAAGGGTACACAGCAACAGTATTCAGTTGCTGCAAAACCAGTTAATTCCAATCAACTGTTAGTGTAAAATAAAGAGTCTTTTAGTCAGTGCGCTGACAATCAGGTCAATATGCATAACTGACAGGGAAAGGTTTATCTGCAGGCAAGCATTTAATTCAAATAATATGACAAGGAACAAGGCTTATAATGACAAATGAATAATGAGTAATTATTTACTTAGGTTCAAAAGAAGCATTTCTGTCAAGGAAATTCCTATTTCATGTAGTTCATCTCAAATAACACAGTTCATCCTATGAAACCTACTTGGACATTTTAAAGGAATTATTATGAAATTATCAAAGTAAGTAAGATAGTATTATCAAAATTAAAAGAAATAAATAAAGTAGCCGGTCCAAAGCCCAATACAACAATAAAAACAAACCAAAATAACAAACGCTAGAGTGGTATCAAACAAACAAAAATCAGAATTTACTGTCAGCCTTGTTGAAATATATATATATATATTCAGAAAAGCCTGAACCATAAAACTGCATCCTTTAGAGTTAGCTGTCCATCAGTGACTCAGCAATGGCAAGTAGCACTGACAGCTCCTGCAGCCCAAGCAGTTCCAGGATCAGTACCATGGTCAGTGGCAGTGATCCTGCACATGATCCACCATGTACAGCAAGAGCAGAAGGATGCTGATCTACTGACCATCTTCAAACTTAATGTTCATCTGAACTGAGGTTTCATTTTATATATATATTCAGACTTTCATTATATATTCTCAAGATTCATTCAATATATTCAGCTTTTCATTATATATATATATATATATATATATTCAGAAAAGCCTGAACCATAAGACTGCATCCTTTAGAGTTAGCTGTCCATCAGTGACTCAGCAATGGCAAGTAGCACTGACAGCTCCTGCAGCCCAAGCAGTTCCAGGATCAGTACCATGGTCAGTGGCAGTGATCCTGCACATGATCCACCATGTACAGCAAGAGCAGAAGGATGCTGATCTACTGACCATCTTCAAACTTAATGTTCATCTGAACATGGTACTATATTAGATTAGCTGTCAATCCACCATAGCCTGATTGTCATCTTAAAGGCTTCAGACAGATAAAGTTGTATCTTGAGCTGTAGAATCCCCCCATCCCCGTCACTCTGCCTGTTTAGTAATGTCACAGAAGTCGACCACCTACCAATTAAATATAAAAACCCACTTCTTATCTCACTAACTATTGCCAAGAAAACGATCTTTCTAAACTGGAAATCTAAAAATTCATTACACATCAACCACTGGACCAACCTTCTTATAGAATATATCACACTAGAGAAAATATCATCCACCC